GACCATAAAATAAAGTAATTCATATATATATATATATATATATATATATATATATATATATATATATCTCAAACTATATGAAAAATTACTAGAATTTAACATATTTTCAGGCCAGAAGAATTTTTAAGTGCTCATGAGATAAGACCAACAATAATCAGTGTTTTAGAAATACAAATATTTGACTACCTTGTGTGTGTGTACATATATATATATACATACATATATATATATATATATATATATATATATATATATATATATATATATATATATATATATATATATATATATATATATATATATATATATATATATATATATATATTCTTATTATTATAGAAACAGAAAATATATTGTCAGACTTAATCCATTTCATAATGTGTGTGTATATATATATATATATATATACACACATTATGAAATGGATTAAGTCTGACAATTATTTAATATATTTTCTGTTTCAATAAGATATAAGAGAATATATATATATATATATATATATATATATATATATATATATATATATATATATATATATATATGTGTGTGTGTGTATATATATATATATATATATATATATATGTGTGTATTTGTGCTAATTGGTTGATTATTTGATTGCTGTCAAAGATTGGGGAAAAAATTAATGAAAAACCATGAAAATATTTAAATTAAATTCACTCTGTCAAAGATAACTGTTAAGTCTCTTCAATGTGCATCCAGTAATTTGAGCATACATGTTCAATATTTATATGTTCACATCACACGTATATAAATTACTTATATACACAAAGAATTACACGCACACATCTTTCCCCCCTCCCCCTCATGCATATAAATACGCATTCACTTAATACACTTACACACATTGTGTACATAAACATTGACTTTGAAAACAGACTTTTATCAACACATGCACGTATTCACCTGTACACATACTAACAAATGTAAACATTGTATAAAGATTCAACAAAGGGTGACCCTGTTGCTTCAAAAGACCGCAAATAAAGTGACCTTGCTTTGAAGAACCTCTGGAAATGTATACCTTTTTTTTTCTTTTTTTTTTTTTTTTTAAAAACTTTGAAATGAACTTGGGGACCTTTTCATTGATGTTCTCAGTCAATTACCAAATTCTCTGTTCTATTTTATATTCATCTTTAGTATTCTGCTTGTTTGAATGACAAATGAGTGGGCAGATTACAGCGTGTTGTTTCAGTCGATCTTATTTTGTTTTCTGCTATAATTTCTCTTCACTCTCATCAAATGTTTCTTCCTGAATCTATTTTCTGTATAATCCTATATTTGAGAGAGGGATAGAGAGAGAATTACTTCAGGATATTAATTGATAATATATTCAACAACTCCATGCTTCTCTGCTTGTGTTGTGCGTGCAGTCCGGCTTGTACTGTTCCATGATGGAACCATCCATGCCGTATCATGTGAAACCTAAGGTGAAGTTGTTTTGTAGCTTTTCCATGTGCCACCTGATGGATCAGAACAATTTTTGGGTTTGTAATTATAATTTTCTTAGTGAACATATATTTATTTATCTTTTCCTAAATTTCTTTTAGGCTATTTGTTAGTCATTTGAGCCTTTTTATATATATATATATGTATGTTTTATAAAAATGTACCATATTTGATCACATACCCTCACCATTTTCACCATAAAAATCAGATTATTATAAATTTGTAATAAATGTGTAAAAGAAAAAAAAAATTTTTTTTTTTTTTTTTTTTTTTTTTTTTGTAACTCAGGTTAAATATGGAATAGAGTACCAATAATATTGTAATATCCAACAGTTTATTTTCTTTCACAATCTATATATTTAAAATGGTCACTTTTTTTTTTCCATATATCTAAATTATAAACTATAATTTTTGGAAGGTGAAAATTTAATTGAACACATTGGAAAACTTCCAAGTTTTCATTTGAAACCAAGAAAATACGAACTTTAAGCAAAATAGTGACAATATAGGAAAAAATCAAAGGTGTTAGTTCAACCCCTATCCTCTTGGAGTCAATTTAAACAAAAGGCTTTCTTTAGTTGTTTTTTCTCCTTTTTTCCTCCTTTTCTCTCTCCGTTTTTCCCTCTCCTTTTTTCCCTGTCCGTTTTTCCCTGTCCGTTTTTCCCTCTCCTTTTTTCCCCTGTCCGTTTTTCCCTCTCCTTTTTTCCCCTGTCCGTTTTTCCCTCTCCTTTTTTCCCCTGTCCGTTTTTCCCTCTCCTTTTTTCCCCTGTCCGTTTTTCCCTCTCCTTTTTTCTCTCTCCTTTTTTCTCTCTCCTTTTTTCTCTCTCCTTTTTTCTCTCTCCTTTTTTCTCTCTCCTTTTTTCTCTCTCCTTTTTTCTCTCTCCTTTTTTCTCTCTCCTTTTTTCTCTCTCCTTTTTTCTCTCTCCTTTTTCTCTCCCTTTTCCTTTTTTCTCTCTTTTTTCTCTCTCCTTTTTTCTCTCTCCTTTTTTCTCTCTCCTTTTTTCTCTCTCCTTTTCATATATTCAAATTATAATTTTGGAAGGTGAAATTTTCACAAAAATATATTATAAAATTTGTAAGTTTTCATTTGAAATCAACAAAATCAAGCTTTATGCTTAATAGTTACAATAGGGGGGGGGCATCAGTTTAAAGTTAAACATACCCTAGGAGGATATAGGTGAATATTCCCTCTTAAAATGTCTGTGTCAGAGTGCATTATATGCCCTTTCATCTCTTGCTATAAACTGCATTATCTAAAAAAGATTTTTTTTTTTAAAAATGTTATCTACAAGAACTTATTAGATGTTTGTAAATTCTGTTAATTATTAAAGATGGCTGGGTGCTTGTATTGGAGTATGCCTGTCTGCTAGGGTGGTTAGCCAATCCCTGTTCCAGACATCTTCTCAGGTACATTTTTGTTTGTTCAGTGCACAATTTTTTAATGTCATGACTCCTTCAGGATTTAAGCAGTTTTTGTTCACTGCAAATTCCTTTTTTTTTTTCTTTTTTTTTTTTCAGTGTAGTTCTCTAGACTTGGCACTGTCTGAAACTAGGGAGCCTAGTTCATTCTGCTATTTGACCCATAACTGGGGAGAAGTGATGAATCCATACATTTCCCAAGAGCATTTGCGCAAAGCGAATTCAATACACTAGGTCAAAATTTGAACTCTACATGCCGACTCTGAATGAGAAATTGGAGAACAACATTTGAATTCTATCAGATTCATTGCATTTACTTATACACAAGTACCCTTCCATCTTCTCCCCTTGGCTATGGATTAAATCATAGGACCTGGGGGGGGGGATTGTTTTCCCCAAAAAATTGTTTTCCCAATATTCAGTTGACATAAAGAATTATTCTTCCAATCCAAAATGTTTCCATTTTAAATAACCCACAAAAGATTAAGCTGTATAAAAAAAAAAAAAAAACAAAAAACACTGGTCCATCAACATACCGATTCCCCTTTCCACACCATTACGCTAGCTGGACATTTACTACCACTTATTAATCCATATGTTATCAATGTCTATTTTCCTTCTCTCATGTTGAACAGCAATCGGATAATTGTACACATTGTCTTGCACAAAAAGAATTCTTGCGTCATCTCAGCACGTTTTCTATAACAATATATTCTGCCATATTTCTGCTCTATTGTCCTACACAAAAAACTCTCTTGTATTCTCCATTGATGCATAACTTTATAGCTTGTGCACATGTATGATTCACAAACCTTCTATTATCTTACATCAAGCTGGTATTGCAGGCACTCTTAACAACTCTTATCATTGGCAATTCCTGGTCCCAGTGTATTAATTAAGCGTCTCTCATTACTTAACATATTGGGATGTTCATCATGAGGTGTATGCAGAGTATTTTGCACCTTTTTATAGTAGTTAAAGTATGCATGTTGTAGTGTAATGGACATCCATTCAGCATAAGAAATTGGAGAGCCAAATTCAAATTCCAACTGTGTCTGTTACATTCACTTACACATTGTTGTAACCTAGGAAAAGTTACTGAATTTCTATTCAGTAAACTTTTAATCACACAAAGGTTGGTAATGAATAATAATACTTAGGGCACAAACAATACATAAGATTCGCCAGTGGCATGTAGAAGTAGTCAACTGCTAGAAGTGAATCGAGTGAATTCCGCAGTGAATCTCCAACTGTAGACCAACATACAGTATTTACCACTATATTATTATGTGAATAGAGGTATACCCATTATCGTCCATTGGTATGCTAAAACATACATAATACCCTTGGAAAAGGTATGAATCTATCTCTTCCCTCTCCAGCTGTGGGTTAAATAACAGGACATATGGGTCATAAAGCCTTGATTGGCAACCAGTCTACTGCAGAAAGAAACGGCAACCTATTGCAGGGAAGTCTTCTGCCTAGTCAGTCATGAATCTAAAGAAACATGATCACCCAAACATGCCACTTAGCTGATTAACTGAATATCTACATGGCAATTCGCAGATAATAAAGGAAGATGTGGAGAGTTTTGACAACTTAAATCCTAAATAGCACTTTTTTTATATAATTAGTTTAGTTACTTTGTTCCAGCAGGTTTCACTGGTAAAAGTGCTGATTGAACATTATGAGACGTCTGTAAATATTTTACAGCTTATAGGCATCCATATCTCTTCAAACTTAGGCACATGAGGGAAACATAAATGCATCTTCACTGATCATCTAACAATGTTTGTCTTGCTTTCAAGTCATCTTAAAGCAAACCTGACTCTACTTTAATATTTTTAAATACAAATGCTGAATTTTTGCATATCTTTAAAGAATGCAAGTAAGAATAACAATAAAAGAAAAGATCAGTATTGTTTGCTAAATATTTTGGGGGGCAATCTTTAACCTTCATGCTCCCAAAAAAAAAAAAAAGGATGTCAAAAGGGTAGTTTTTCCCTTAACACCACTATTGTTTTAACTATCTTCACTCCTCAGCAATGTTGTTTTAAAAAGTCAAAATTTAAAGATCACCCAACATTTTTTAACAAATGTAGATGGATTTGATGATAGAATCCAGGTGTTCTTTTTGGGGTTTTTTTCTGTGAAAAGCTTAATCTCGTTTTTTAATTGGCACCCTGACTTTATTACACATTATTTATCTGTTTTTAAAATACTTTTAATAACTCCCAAATATTATCTTCAGCTACAGGTTCTTGTCTTTGGAATGCATTTGATGTCCTTGATCAATTCTTTATCTCGGTCAGACTCTTACATTGTTATTTACTTCTTTACAAAAACGCCCCCCCCCATATTAACTTTCTATTGCTCTTTTTATTGTATGTCTTCTTAGCTAACAGTCTTTTTAAGACTTTGTAACTTTCATTCTATCCAGCTCGATGACTATTCATTTATTCAAATTAGTTCAGGATTCCCAACAATTGAAATGGACTTTTGAACATTTTCATTTTTCTGTTCTGTTTACTGTATTTGCTGTTTGTACAAAGTAATGGCTTCATGAGGAGTTTATACACTCTTATCCACTAAGTAAAAGGCAAGAAAGAACAACCTTGTTCACACTAAAATCATTGTTTTCTGTCACCAACATTATTATTATGCTTTATTCTTCCATCAGACTGTATTTTTAATCATTTATAATTCAGACTAATCTAATTTTGATTAGTACTGTTTACACACTTTTATTGGATTCATTTTATAAACATGATACATATTGCTGTTTATTTTTATATATTTATTACTATAATTGCCAACACAAAAGGAAATTATCCAGTGTTCCATGAACCATATAGGAATGTTTGTATAAAAGAAAGACATCTAATTCAACTTAAGCCCAACAGATTGAAATTAACCTTTGTTACTATACCAGGTTCTTAGAAAGAGAAATAATGGAATTTAAAAAATGAATCTAATATGTTTTTTTTCTTTAAAACACTCCAAGAAAGTAGATTGTTTAATGCATCACATTTTTGAGGAGGAAAAAAAAATACTTGTCTGGTATTTGATAACTCAATAAGGCATTGTCTGAAATTCAATGACCAACAAAATTCACCAGACATGATTATAGTGTGATGGATACAGGCTGTTATTACAATCATGTGACTATCCGGACTCCTTCTGCACACAATATTAGCATCACAGGAAAACCTTCAGTTAAAAATGTGGCTGATGGCCACATCATGTTAAATACTGAATTTAAGTAACATCAAGACTGGCCAGTACTTAGATGAGTGACTGCTTTGGAATATCAGGCGCTCTAAGCATGAAGATGCGGGTGGTGTAATGGATAATGACTCTGAATTGTTAATCAGAGCGTCAAGTTCCAATTCATGTTAGGTTCGTTATATTCACTTACACACGAATACCCTGGGAAAGGTATGCATCCATTTCTTCTCTCCCCAGCTATGGATTAATAAGACTTGTATCGCTGAACCATTAATATCTCAACAAAGAAAATTTCTAACAATCTAAAAATTAAGCTGCAAAGGGTTAAGTCATAGAAAACAAATTAATCATTCAGTTAATCAGAACATTGTATATCACATATTCAATAATCATTATTTTGTTTATACTAAAAGGCAAGCATGTTTGCTGGAAAATTTTTTTTTTTTTTTTTTTTTTTTTTTTTAAGCCTTGGCTTAACAAAAATGCACAAATTTTTGTCAACATAAGAAATATTAATTTTTTTTTTTTTCTAATGATGTATATTGTGTTGTGTAAATTACAGGATCAGAAACATTTAGTGAAACTTCAAGACATTTTATTGTTACCTGTTGTAATTCCAATATTAAAGTTAATAAACTTTTAATAGATTTTCATATTCAGCTGCTTATTTTAAAGTTAATTGTTTTAAAACAAGAGCTTTGTTTTTGTTTTTAATTTGTTTTTTGTATAATTCATTCAAATAAAACTAAACTTCACTTAGTTGGATAAATTAACAGACTGTGGCATCTATCAGATGAAATTTAAATTTTTCTTATTGCATTATTCCAAAATTTTAGCAAATCCCATCAACAGATAGCTATTAATGTCAAAAACTGAGCACAAATAGTTATTAATTAAAAAAAATAGTAATTAATGTATAATATTAGCCATAACTACATGTACAAGAATGTCGTTTTTGATAAAAGTTAAAAAAATAACCATAAATACGTAAAAAATGCTTATATTGTCGAAAATTCATTTTTTCTATAATATAGCTATTTGTGCTATGTTATAATGCTTATTACCTAAACAATAATAATACTGAATAAGTTTCTTTTTTATTAAACATATTATATATTTAATCACATCTCCCTAATAGCTGTCATGATCTGTAAATATACCCTGGCATTATAGGCACATTCTAGAGGGGTATATAAACTCTGTTTGATTACTTGGGAGTTATCTCTACAAAAAGAAATTATTTTTCTACAACATTCTTAGGCATTTATGCAAATAAATATTTTGGATGATGTTGCCAGAGAGATTACTTTTTATTTTTAATTCTGAATTTTTCTCTTTCTTTCAGATTGAAGAGCTGAAAAACAAAGAAAAACTAATTGCTCAGCT